GACTTAAAAGCTTATGGAGAGAACACTCCCCGGCTTGGACGGGTTCCTCACCCGCCATTAACGTAAAGACTTAAGAGCTTATGGAGAGAACACTCCCCGGCTTGGACGGGTTCCTCACCCGCCATTAATGTGTTGTGTTTTTAATGTCTTCACAGAGTGTTGTGTTTGCAATGCTTTCAGTGTTGTGTTTACACTTAGAGTGTTGCTTTTTAATGTAAGCACATAAATGACGTTACATTGCAATATATATTAAAAATATCATTTCTAGCCCTGGTTATAAATGAAATGAAAAGTTATAAACATTGATATTATACTAAACTGTTGTAGTGTTTTGTTGTCTTCGTTATAAAGTAGTAGTGATAGTGAGAGCGCATATGCATGTTATGGCAACGAATATTGTCCAAGGTCGTTTTGTTCGAATAGTCTATGGATAAGTTTTAGTGCAAACTTTGCACCGAATAATGACACAATAGTGTAGTAAATCTGCAAATTGCCACAATTTTCAGATAGCGAAAAAATTTTATTTATTTATTTATTTTATTTAACCATGTTTTTTTTTAAATTTTGAGTTAAATACACTTGGTTAATAATACTGTAGAACTTACAATATAGCTTACTTGTTAGAAATTTTAGTCATTACATTTTAATATTAATTTGTAGTATTAATATTTTTTTAATGTTTTGGTTTATGCTTTTAGTTTAAATCAATATTGCATAACATTAATTGCCGCGTTTTGTTGAGTAGTCAATTCTCAGTTATTCCCATATGCTTTTAATGATTAATTGTCAGGTAATTGCATAATATTATTTAAATTATCCATAAATTAACATTTTTATGTATACATTTAAAATTACATATAGATGTCTATTAAATTAGTTCTATTATTTTTTGTATTAATTATTATACATTTCACAGTAATTAACGCAAATACTGTTAGCGTTTCTATAGATAACGGAGTAATCAATGGATTCTCACAAGTATTCAACGGCACAGAAGTGGAGTCCTATTTGGGTATTCCATACGCGGAGCCACCGGTCGGTGACCTCCGCTTCCGAAGACCAGTGCCGGCGAAGAAGTGGACACAACCTCTGAACGCAACCAAATGGCCGAACCCTTGCTATCAATCGACATTACTTTTACATATGTCTCAAAACAAGAATATCAGCGAAGATTGTTTATATCTCAACGTATTCTCGCCTAAATTAAGCTTAAAAATTAAGCTTAAAAATTGGTGCCCAGAGCTGAGGCCAGTGCTGGTGGTGTTTCCCGGCGGGGGCTTCATTGCCGATTCTTCCAGTAATGTGTTTTATAATCCGTACGTGTTGTCCACCAGAGGCGACATCATTATTGTTTCGTTAAATTACAGGTAAGTCACGTGTGGAGAGTATAAGTCAATATTGAAGCCGATGTTTGTGTGGCCAAAAGGTTGGGTGCGGTGGCGATGCTATACTCGGGAACAGATGAAGCGCCTGGAAATCAACTCTTCTGGGACTCGACATTAGCCCTATTATGGGTGCAGCAAAATATTGACAAGTTTGGCGGCGATCCCAATAGAGTGACAATATTAGGTGTGAGCGCCGGCAGCGCTATAGTTAGTGGACTCATATTATCGCCAATGAGTAGGCATTTGTTTCAAAACGCTGTAATGATGTCCGGATCCATAGTAATGAACGGCGCGGTCGCACCGCCGGAGCAGTCAATGCCATTTTGGTTAAAACTATCGCAACAAATGGGTTGCGCGACCGGAAGTGACGCCACGTTTACGCCAATGATTATGGATTGTATGCGAAAAGTGCCGATCCATAGGTTGACAGCATTACCATTCGGTCCACTCATCCCATCACACAATAAGATAGACTTCGCGCCACTCTTTGTGGTCGACGGCCTATTCTTCCCAAAAACACCGCATAAAATGCTAGAAAGCGGTGAATTCAAGAAAGACCTCAACTTAATGATAGGTACGGCTCAAGACGAGGGCTCTATGTTATTGTTTATGTTTGTCGATCCGATCACTTATAGTATGATCGCTCCCAAGAGCTTCACTTTTAAAGAGGCTTATCATACGTTAAGTACAATGGCTTCGGGTCTGAGACTAACGAAACCAATTAATGGCGAAGACGTTTCCCGATTGTATTTCACGGGTCTCTCCAATCACACCAATGAAAACATTTTGCTTCAAACAATTGCTATCGCTTTTGGCGATTATATCATCACTTGTCCGACCCTTCAGTTCGCGAAGAATGCGTTTATGAAGAATAACGTGAAAGTATATCAATACCACTATAACATTAAAGTAGGAAAACCTATCATATGTTTAGGCAAATGGATGGGTGTTTGTCACACAAGCGATATGTTGCCAGCCTTTGGTCACCCTTTCCTTATGCCCAAAAGAATGCGTTTATGAAGAATAACGTGAAAGTATATCAATACCACTATAACATTAAAGTAGGAAAACCTATCATATGTTTAGGCAAATGGTGGGGTGTTTGTCACTCGAGCGATGTGTTGCCAGCCTTTGGTCACCCTTTCCTTATGCCCACCAACTATATAGACCGCGAAAGAGATATATCGGTAAAAATGATGGACACATTCATCAGTTTTATAAGAACGGGGTGAGTTTAATTACAATATTCAAGTAAATGCTATACGATTAAAATTTGAATTCATACAAAAAAGTAACCCTGGTGTTATGGACGGCGCCCAATGGCCGCACTACTACACAATGGGAGACAATATAGTAGAGCCGTATTATGAGTACACAAATACATCGAAAGCTGCCACTAATTTTTACTTTGGATTAAAGCATTATGAATGCGATTATCTGTGGAATAAACATAATTATTAGTTTATTAGTATAAAATTTATTGAAATAAATTATTTTGTTATATTTCGAAACTTTTCTACACAATATAAATACATTACGGAATATTATGTGTTGTTAGAAATGTCTTAATAATAATACTAGAGTTAAACTAAGGTTTTAAATATTATGTGAAATTAAAGGAAATGAATTTAAAAATCGTTGTCATATTTAATTTGAATAAAAATTATTTCATTATTACTGTAGTAATACTAATATAGTATAAAAATATTAAGAGAGATATTGGAAATATTGTGATTAATATTTGCACTTTTATATCATTTATACATTAGATAATTAAATTCATATTTGGAGCTCATGTACTAATTACTAGTAATTTTATTACAGTCAAGTATTAACTATTTATTTTTTGGATTCATATAAGATTACTAAACAATTAAAGTTTTGAACTAAAACAATTAAATTTATGTAATTATTAGTTATAAAATAGTTATAGATTAGCTTATTCGTGTACACGCAGACTTGAAATGTACTTAAAAAACTATTAATACTATATATAACAAAAAGAGATTTGTTTTATCACAAATGTTGCGACACAAGTACCTGTGAAGTGATTATCCGCTAACGATTTAGTATATAAACGACTTTATTTAACGTTAATATTAGCATGAATTATTTCATATTATTAATAAAATATTAATATTATTTAAACATGCTTCTCAATAAATACATTCAGTTTTTCTTTGTATTAAACATTATAAATATAATAGAAATCAACGCAAAGAGTGTTAGCGTTTCGATAGAGAACGGAGTAATCAATGGATTCACACAAGTATTCAACGGCACAGAAGTGGACACATATTTGGGTATTCCATACGCGGAGCCACCGGTCGGTGACCTCCGCTTCCGAAGACCAGTGCCGGCGAAGAAGTGGACCAAACCTTTGGACACAACCAAATGGCCAAATGCTTGCTATCAATCAGACGCTGAGTTATTTATGATGCAAAACAAGAATCGTAGCGAAGATTGTCTTTATCTCAATGTATTTTCACCCAAACCTAATAAATCGGACACAGAATTAAAACCAGTGATGGTATGGATTCACGGCGGGGCCTTCATTATGGGCTCGTCCAGTGAAATACAATACAATCCCCTCGTAATGTCTGCCAGAGGAGATGTTATCATTGTGTCAATTAATTACAGGTTAGCTCTTTTTATAATTTGTATAAAATAAAAACAGTTGCTATCCATCTAATATTATTTAGTTGAATATAACATTTTATGATTTATTTATTCCCAAGATTGTCGTCTTTGGGAATGCTATACTCGGGAACAGATGACGCGCCCGGAAATACACTCTTCTGGGACCAGACATTAGCCCTTCAATGGGTTAAGAAAAATATTGGACACTTTGGCGGAGATCCCAATAGTGTAACTATATATGGCGAGAGCGCTGGCAGTATGTCAGTGAGTGGACACATACTATCACCCAATAGCCGGGATTTGTTTCAAAACGCTATAATGATGTCCGGATCGATGCTTCTCTATGGAAGCGTTGATACACCAGAAAATTCACTCAAATATTGGTTAAAACAATCGCAACAAATCGGGTGTTCAGATGAAAGTGACCACAAGTTTACACCAAAAATAATGGATTGCTTGAGAAAAGTGCCGATTGAAAAGTTGGCTGTAATTCCCTTCAGTCCATTTATACCATCGGTTGATAAGTTAGATGTCGTTCCTATGTTTGTCGTCGACGGAAAGATATTTCCCAAAACTCCGATTGAAATGTTAAAAACAGGAGATTATAAGAAGGGTTTAAATCTAATGATAGGCAACACTCAAGACGAGGGGTCTATACTATTGGCGGCGTTAGTCGATCCGATCACTTATAACATAACTAATCCCAAAAACCTTACATATAATGAAGCATTTGATGCATTGAAGACATTATCTTCCGGACTAAAAGTTAGTAAACCTCTTAACGGCGAAGACGTCTCCCGAATGTATTTCACGGGTCTCTCCACTCATACCCACAAAGACTTATTGATCCGAGAAATTGGTATTGCTTTCGGTGATTATGTTATCACTTGTCCGACCATTCAGTTCGCGAAAAATGCCTTTTTAAGTGATAAAACCGGAACTAAAGTCTTTCAATACTACTATAACAGCAAATTAGGAAAACCTAAGTTAATTTGTTTAGGGAAATGGATGGGTGTTTGTCATGGAAATGATTTAATACCAGCATTTGGTTTACCATTTCTTCAGCCAAATGAATACTTAGATCGCGAGAGAGACATATCCTCACAAATGATGGACTCTTTCATTACTTTTGCCAAAACTGGGTTTGTATTGAGTGCTCAATTGATAACAATAAAAATAATATTTAAATTCATTTTATAGTAACCCGGGTGTTATAGACGGCGCCCAATGGCCGCAATACTATTCAATGGGAGCCAATATAATAGCGCCGTATTATGAGTACACAAATGAACCGAAATCTGTCACTAATTTCAACATTGGATTAAAGATCGATGAATGCGATTATCTATGGAATTAATACAACACAATCAATACAAAAATTGATTTTATTAAATTTTTATTAAATATTTTCAATTTATAAAATAATTTAAAATAATTTAATTTTTATCTAATTAATTTTTTAAATGCTTAATGATAAAGAATTGAGTTATTCTTAATTTTGTACAGTGTTAAAATAAAACACCATGGCGGTAGATTGCTTATCACTTTGTGACAATCATTTAATTAATAGAATATGGTTAGTCTTAAAGTTAGATTATATTATTTGTAACTTTTCACATGATGATGGAAATATTCCTTAGCAAATGTGACTCACAATTTTTGAGAACATTTAAATGTCATTCTCTTATATAAAATCTATAATAAATAATGTTTTATACCATTTGCTTTATTCAAATGTGCTTACCTTGGTAATCTAGCCTAGTGAAGCTGATTATAAATCTTATTTTAGTATATGTTTGTCTAAATTAATATTAAATAACAGATTTATACAGCATATAATTATCTTCTATTTATATTCTTTCAAGAAAAAAGGGAAATATAAGTGCATTTTGAATATATTAAACTAAATACACTTAATGTGAACTATACATTTAATGAATGTGAACTTATCGCCAGTGCATCAATCAAACTAACGAGAAAATTAATTGTTTAATATATACTTAATGTTGAGTGCATTTTATCAGTTGGATTGAAGTAATAAACTCAAGGTCTATCCATTGCATTGATATTAAACAACTTTGTATATAAAGGACTTGATTTACCTTAAATTTCATCACATATTTCTACACATCAATAGAAATCAAACTTCAAAATGTTATTCAATAAATGCATTCAATTTGTGTTTCTTTTCATTATTATAAATATAATAGAAATTAACGCAAAGAGTGTTAGCGTTTCGATAGAGAACGGAGTAATCAATGGATTCTCACAAGTATTCAACGGCACAGAAGTGGAGTCCTATTTGGGTATTCCATACGCGAAGCCACCGGTCGGTGACCTCCGCTTCCGAAGACCAGTGCCGGCGAAGAAGTGGACCAAACCTTTGGACACAACCAAATGGCCAAAAGCTTGCTATCAATCCGGTGCTGCGCTACAAATGTTACAAAATCCAAGCATGAGCGAAGATTGTCTGTATCTCAATGTAATTTCACCCAAACCTAATAAGTCGGACACTGGACTGAAGCCAGTGATGGTATGGATCCACGGCGGGGGTTTCGTTGTGGGCGCCTCCACTGAATTCTACACAAATCCTATGGTTTTAGTGACGAGAGGCGATGTTATTGTTGTGTCCATTAATTACAGGTGAGTTTTGGTTTAGATAAGTTTGTTGTTTCAATAAGTTATACAATTTTTTCATTACTTGTATAGATTGTCGTCTTTGGGAATGTTATACTCGGGAACAGATGACGCGCCCGGAAATACACTCTTCTGGGACCAGACATTAGCCCTTCAATGGGTTAAGAAAAATATCGGTCAGTTTGGCGGAGACGCCAATAGAGTGACTATATTTGGTGTAAGCGCTGGTAGTATTTCAGTATCTGGTCTTATATTATCGCCAATGAGTCGGGATTTGTTTCAAAACGCTATAATGATGTCCGGATCAGCACTTCTTTATGGAGCCGTCTCTACACCAGAAAAATCTGTCAAATACTGGTTAAAACAATCGCAAAAATTGGGATGTTCTCAGAAAACTGACAAAACATTTACCACCAAAATAATGGATTGTATGCGAAAAGTGCCGATTGAGAAGTTGGCTCTAATACCTATCGGTCCAATCATCTCATCGACCAATAAATTAGCAGCGGTTCCCCTCTTTGTCGTCGACGGGAAAATATTTACTAAAACTCCGTTTGAAATGTTAGAAACAGGAGATTATAAGAAGGGTTTGAATCTAATGATAGGCAACGCACAGGACGAGGGGTCTCTACTATTGTCGATGTTTGTCGACAACATTACTTATAATATGTTTAATCCCAAAATCTTTACATATAATGAAGCATTTGATGCATTGAAGACAATGTCTTCGAGTATAAGACTTAGTAAACCGGTTAACGGCGAAGACGTCTCCCGAATGTATTTCACGGGTCTCTCCACTCATACACCCAAAGACTTATTAATCCAAGAAATTGGTATCGCTTTCGGAGATTATTTAATGACTTGTCCGACCATTCAGTTCGCGAAGAATGTATTTACAAGTGATAAAACCGGAACTAAAGTCTATCAATACTATTATAACAGCAAATTAGGAATACCTAGATATTTATGTTTTAGTAAATGGATGGGTGTCTGTCATGCAAGTGATGTCATTCCAGCCTTTGGTGTGCCTTTCCTTCAGCCAAATGTCTATTTGGATCGCGAGAGAGACATATCCTCACAAATGATGGACTCCTTCTTGAATTTGGCCAAAACTGGGTTTGTATTCAATAAACACTTAATTAAAACTATAAAAATAACATTTAACTTCATTTTACAGTAATCCGGGTGTTATAGACGGCGCCCAATGGCCGCAATACTATTCAATGGGAGCCAATATAATAGCGCCGTATTATGAGTACACAAATGAACCGAAATCTGTCACTAATTTCAACATTGGATTAAAGATCGATGAATGCGATTATCTATGGAATCAATACAACCATTGATTTTAATACAGTATTTAATAGTATTTGATGTAATATTTTTCATATTATAATGAACTTAAAACATGTCACATTTTAATTTAATAAATTATTAAATGAAGAATATTAAACTTTACTTTTTTAGTATAAATACCTTAAATAATTTAAATAATTTTTATAATTTATAAAATTATAAATTTTTACTATAGTACTAACATAGTTATATTGAGTTTACATTAAATTATCAAGTCACAAATTATTATTAACATGATGAGAATCACCAAAATTATGCCTTTTCTATGCTTTTTGGGTAACTCTTTACTATTTTATATAAAATAATGACTATAGCAACTTTTTTTATCAGTTTAAACTTTAAAGCATTAGTTATACAGTATACAGGTACTGTAATCAATTTTACAATAAATTTTCAAACTGGGAATATTCCTTATTAAATGTGACTTTAATTATGCGAACATTTAAATGTCATTCTCTTATAATAAATCTTTTTTTTTAAAATTCATACCATTTGCTTTATTCAAAAGTGTTTACCTTGGTAATCTAACATAGCCTATAGTATTGATTGCAAATCTTATTTTAGTTTATGTTTGTCTAAATAATCTATAATATTAAATAACAGATTTATACGAAATAATATTATTTTCAATTTATATTCTTTCTAGAAAAAAGGGAAAATATAATTTATAGTGCATAATAGTACACTAGGGTGACCAGACGTCCTCCGTTAAGTAGCATTGTCCTCCAATCGACCATTTTTGACACCGTCTTTCGTAGACTTTACGGAGGACAATACTTTGTCCTCTATTACGGTTTTGGAATAAAAATCTTTATTTTATACATAATATGTTTTAATCTCCCAAATATATGATTATACAGTATTTTAAAAACTTATTATGTTTAAATGAAATATAAAGTATTCATCGTCTTTAATTTATATATTAGTGATATCTAATTAGTAATTACGGTGAAAAATAAAAATATCATTTATACTCACTTTACAAATGATGATAATTAGTAAAATAAATTGTATAAATAATGAGCCCAAAACCTGATAACTTACTTTTCTTACTAAGCAATGAGTAATACAACATCATTAATACTGTTGTATGTTATATTTTTGATATTTCACCACTAATTTGCTAACAGTATTATATAATTACAACATCTCGGTTAAAATGAATCAGTATTTTATATATTTTAGAATTTTTGCCTAAAATTTTTGAACGCATTTCAAACCCATAGTATAAACTCAATATCATGTGAGATATAAATACACCATTTGATACTAACTCGTAAAAATAAAGAGTCCTCCGCTAGGAACTAAATTTTGTCCTTCAATTTCCTAGAAATTTCTGGTCACCCTAGTTGAACTAAAAGTACTTAAAATAAACGGACAAATTAATGAGAAAATGCATTGTTTTTATATATTTTATACTTAACATATAGTGTATTATATCAATTGAATTGAAGAAATAAACTCAAGGTCTATCCATAGCATCGATATTAAACAACTTGGTATATAAAGGATTTGATTTACCTTAAATTTCATCACATATTTCTACACATTAATAAAAATCAAATATCAAAATGTTATTCAATAACTTCATTCAATTTGTGTTTTTATTTATTATTATAAATATAATAGAAATCAACGCAAAGAGTGTTAGCGTTTCGATAGAGAACGGAGTAATCAATGGATTGACACAAGTATTCAACGGCACAGAAGTGGACACATATTTGGGTATTCCATACGCGGAACCACCGGTCGGTGACCTCCGCTTCCGAAGACCAGTGCCGGCGAAGAAGTGGACCAAACCTTTGGACACAACCAAATGGCCAAATGCTTGCTATCAACCTGATAGTTTACTATTACAAACGTTTCAAAATCCAAATCGTAGCGAAGATTGTCTTTATCTCAATGTATTTTCACCCAAACCTAATAAGTCGGACATAGGATTAAAGGCAGTGATGGTATGGATCCACGGCGGGGGTTTCGTTTTGGGCGCCTCCACTGAAATAATCACAAATCCTATGGTTTTAGTGACGAGAGGCGATGTTATTGTTGTGTCCATTAATTATAGGTTTAGATAAGTTTGTTTTCTTTAATAAGTTATACAACTTTTTCATTACTTGTATAGATTGGCGTCTTTGGGAATGTTATACTCGGGAACAGATGACGCGCCCGGAAATACACTCTTCTGGGACCAGACATTAGCCCTTCAATGGGTTCAGACAAATATTGGACACTTTGGCGGAGATTCTAATAGAGTGACTATATTTGGTTTAAGCGCTGGCAGTATGTTAGTGAGTGGTCTTATATTATCGCCAATGAGTCGAGATTTGTTTCAAAACGCTATAATGATGTCCGGATCAGCACTTATGTATGGATCCTTCGATTCACAAGAAAATTCAGTCAAATATTGGTTAAAACAATCGCAACAAATGGGATGTTCAAAGGAAACTGACAAAACATTTACCACCAAAATAATGGATTGTTTGCGAAAAGTGCCGATTGAGAAGTTGGCTCTAATACCTGTCGGTCCAATAGACCCGTCCACTAATAATGTAGATATCGTTCCCCTCTTTGTCGTCGACGGAAAGATGTTTCCCAAAACTCCGATTGAAATGTCAGAAACAGGAGATTATAAGAAGGGTTTGAATTTAATGATAGGCAACACTCAAGACGAGGGATCCTTACTATTGTCTATGTATATCGATGACATCACTTATAATATGTTTAATCCCAAAAATTTCACATATAATGAAGCATTTGATACATTGAAGACAATGTCTTCGGGTCTCAGACTTAGTAAACCGGTTAACGGCGAAGACGTCTCCCGAATGTATTTCACGGGTCTCTCCACTCATACCCACCAAGACTTATTGATTCAAACAATTGGTATCGCTTTCGGAGATTATGCCATCACTTGTCCGTCTATTCGTTTCGCAAAGAATGCCTTTTCAAGTGATAAAACTGGAACTAAAGTCTATCAATACTATTTTAACAGCAAATTAGGAATACCTAGATATTTATGTTTTAGTAAATGGATGGGTGTCTGTCATACAAGTGATATGATTCCAGCCTTTGGTGTGCCATTCCTTCAGCCAAAAGGCTATTTGGATCGCGAGAGAAATATATCCTCACAAATGATGGACTCTTTCTTGAATTTGGCCAAAACTGGGTTTGTATTCAATAAACACTTAATTAAAACTATAAAAATAACATTTAACTTCATTTGATAGCAATCCGGGTGTTATAGACGGCGCCCAATGGCCGCAATACTATTCAATGGGAGCCAATATAATAGCGCCGTATTATGAGTACACAAATGAACCGAAATCTGTCACTAATTTCAACATTGGATTAAAGATCGATGAATGCGATTATCTGTGGAATCAATACAACCATTGATTTTAATACA